CTCCATCTTGGAACGCCACGGTTTCTTGATGGTGAAAAGCTGTCTCGCTAAATCTTTTCTTTATTCCTTATTTGACTGAATTACCGGGAGAGGGCGAGACAGAAGGACAGGTCGAGTCGTCCGTTCACGCAGCTAACAGGCACTCCGTGCCGGTGCTGGGGGCTCGACGACGGACACGGCGCGGGCTCCTTCCTCCCCACGTAAACTCGGCAAGATGGAGCCTGAGAGCGGCTGAGGCCTGTCCACACCACCCTGGTTTCTGCGATCGGCTTGGCGAGAGCTTTCCTGCAGGTTCCTGTGAGCGGGAACCCTCTCTACACTGCGAAGAGGGTTTTGTCCTACAGTCCTCTGTGACCCCCAGGGCTGCTGTGCCCTTGGACTCCCTGTTTACTGAACAATCACTCCAGAACTTTCAAACCCAGGTTTTCATAAAATCCACACAAAGAAACAGGCATAACGTCTATTTCCTTAGCACCGTGGGTGGATTTTCATAGGTCCACAGACTTGATCTCGTTTAGATTCGGCTGGATTTGATTTAAAGACGTAGGTGTGTGCCTCTGTTACTGCGCTAAGATAACGGGGGGAGATGCCGCACGTCAGAACCAGCGCAGCTCTCAACAGTCGTCGGGGCTGAAACACAAGGTTCTCCACGAGGTTTGCGCTGCCGCTGCCAAGGCCGCTTCCAGCCTTGCTCAGACAGGACGGACTCGGGCGGGAGCCGTGTCTGCCCCTCCCGCGGTCAGAGCGGCTGGCAGTGGGGGCATGTCGGCAGCCACACGGGACTACGTTGGGACTGAGACCACCATCGAGTGACCGAGGAAATGGCCAGAAGGACCTTTTTGGCCACAGGCACTGGGGAGAGTCGGAGGAATGAAAATCAGAGGGAAGGAGGATGCGCGGAAAGACAAACTGCCACGTGTCTGCCGGCTGTCGCTGGGCACGGGAGGAAGGCGGCGCGTGGGCAGAGAGGACGTGGACGACAGCGCTCACAGGGAAAGGAGAGATGCGAGGCCGTGTGGGGACTGGACCAGCCCGGGGAGATGACAGAGCGAGGGCGGCGGGAGCACAGGAGGACGAGACCCAGGCTGGCGGGAGACGAGAGGACACTGTGCTGAGGAGTCGAGGTACACGACGAGGACGGGCCGCGTGCACGAGGGGCAGGCGGTCACGGAGGAAGTGGTGGAGTCTTTAAGAGGTAAGCATTAGGGGAATTTATTGACAGAAGTCGTAAACACAGCTAAAAAATTAAATGAATTCGTTGCCGTGGTGCTCACAGAGGAAGATGAGAGACAGATGCCAGCAGCAGACGCACCCTCCCAGAGGAGAGGGACGGACGCCGCAGGAAATCAGAAGCGTGCCAGAGCAGGTGATCAAGAAATCTGAGCTTCCGCAGACTGGCGAGGCCGCGTCGCCTGAGAGCGGCGACGGGGGAAGCGCGGAAATCAGCATGCGGCGGACTGATGCCCAGCCTTTGGGGGCAGGAAGGCCTGGCCGCCGGGAGCGGGACAGACGCGTGCCTACGGCGGGCAAGAAACCCCAGTCTGTCTCCGCTCGGCCAGCGTTCCCGCACCGCCTGGCGCCCGCCCCGTGCACTCAGCTTTCAACTCACTGGTCTCCTGGCCCCGCCAGACTACTTCGGGCCCCTCTAAGCAGCCAGCCGCTCCGGCCACGTTCGCACAGGCCGGGCCTCTCCTCCCCGGCGCACTTGCACTCACAGGAGCCCTCCACGCCGCGCCGCCCCCGTCCCTGCTCCTCGCTGCATGGCACAGCACCTGGGCAAACAGGCCACCTGGCGGCTGTGGCAAAGGGCTTAGTGACCCACATCTCTCTTCATTTTATGCAGCATTACTTCCCAGGCTAGAAACCGATTCCGTCTGTGCTTCTTAACATCAGCACGAAGTCTTCGGGTTCACAAACATTCAGCAGCTGAAGGGCAGGCTGCGCGTTTGTGTCCCCACTCCAGAGTCCCATGTGTTCCCAACCCCCAGTGGAATGGTATTAGGAGGTGGGGCCTTTGGGAGGTGATTAGGTTTAGATGAGGTCGTGAGGATGGAGCCCCCAGGAAGGGATTTAGTGTCCTTATACGAAGAGGAAGAGACTAGAGCTCTCTGTCTTTCTCTGAGTGCACCTACCAGGAAGGTCACGTGAGCGCATAACCAGGAAGAGGGCCCCCACCAAGAACCACACCCTGCCAGCACCCTGATCTTGGACTTCCAGCCTCCAGAACCGTGAGAGATAAACGTTTGTTGTTTCGGCCACCCGGTCTATGGGATTCTGCGACAGCAGCCCAGGCTGACTGAGATAGACACTGATGTCACCTGGCAAACAGGCGGGGACAGGCAGAGGAAACCCTGTATCCCCTGCCCTGCAGCCCACCCTCCTGGTGATTCTGGCTGCCACGGGACCATGGCTCAGGCTGTCCTGGACTCTCACCCCAGCCTCCTTTCTGGCTGCTGCCCCTCCCCCACGAGGCGGCAAGCGCCCGTCTGGCGTCACGGTTCTCCTTCAGAGCTGTCTCCTGGGAGTCGGCCCGACCAACCCCAGTCGTCCTCTGTCCCTCACACCTCTGAACTCTGCCCACACACATTTCTGCTCTTCGCTGCGATAGGTGATACTACTTCGAGAGGTGTCCTAGAACCCAGCATGCTGCAGTGAGGAAGGTTCTCCTTGAGGGTCTGCTGTATTCTCGATGCCCAGGGACACTCGGCTCTACTGTGCCCTCTTCTGTGCTCTGAGAACGACGTCCTGGTCACTGTTCATTTTGTGACATAGATGCTTCCCGGTTGGCAACACTACTTTGAGGATTTTTCTTCCTGATCAATAATACTGTAGACTCAGTAAGGCCGATGAGCGAGTCATCCATCAGCCCAGTGTGACGGATCACCCTGTAACTGGTGACCTGCCCGCTGACCCGTTCAAACCGCTGGTCCAGGTGCACCACAGTGGTTGGGACCCTCACACAGAGTATGTTTGGGAAACTCATCATGGAAGAAAGATCCTGTGCTCTAACTTTAGAGTCTGTAATGGAAATTATTCTTCATCTGGAATAGCTTTGGAAAAAGATGGCCATGATTTCTTCTTTATCCCTTTGGCCACTGAGGAGACGGGCTGGGACTCAGAGCAGGTCTGGAGGCAGAGCCTGGCCACGCTCAGCTCCGGGCTTCTCAGCCTTTTCTGACTTGAGAATTCCTCCTGCTGCAATGTAAACCCTCAGAGTTCCACTTAGGAATTAAAGAAAACCCTGGTCTTTTTAGCGGGATGCATTGTATACGAAACAAGGACTGCAAATGAAAAATATTTAATTCTAGTCTGACATATTAACTATGTAAAGATGAATTTCAATTGTTTTCAGATTTACTAAGTGATACATAATTAACATAGTATAAATGATAAAAAAATTCGGATTTATTGGCAAAATTTTAAAAATATGATACTGGTTGTGGGATCAAGTATGTATTAAAATGCAGATTCAAATTTACTTTTGGTACATCATGAAAAGAAAAAAGGGCTTTTATGACCTGATGTTTAGAATTCTTGAATTTTGCTTTAAAAAATATCAACTGGTTTAACTTTTTTTTCCTCTTAGCTTCCAAACTTAGAGATCAGTTGTTTTACTTTTGTAATTTCAGGTTTGTTTTGAAATAAAGAAGTAAGAGAAAAAGTTCCAGGTTTCTGTTTGCAAGCTGCTCTCTGCAGGAAACACACTGAGGGTGTGGATCGTTATTATTCTAAATAAATAGAAAAGGCAAAATGAATATAAACTATCACAATATTTTCACTTTTTAAAATGCTTCTTGAAGCATTTTAAACACCTTGATGTGTTCTGGGAAATTTCTGATTCCACGAAAGCAGTGCATGAATCCAGGGCCAGCTCTATTATGTGTGGGGATGAAGATGCTGCTAGAGAAGATGGAGAGCCCTGTGTTCAAAGAGCAGGAAAAAAATTTCTCTCTTGAGCTGTCCTGCTGTGTTTTGTTTGCTCCTTAGCATTGTATCCCTTGGCACAGGGGTCCCCCAGGCCAGTGCAGCCCTCACAGGCACCAGGGCCCTATCCTGTGCCTTGAGCTCAGACGCACACCAGACCCTGGTCCTTCTTCTACTGCGCCAGGGTCCCCGCTGGGGCCGGGGGGTGGTATGGTCATGGGGCAGGATGAAGAGGAGGAGGCCAAGCAGAGCCCAGGCACCAGGGGTCAGGGAGTGGATGACCAAGAGCCCATCCTGGGAAGATGAGAAGGGGCAGGAGGCAGGATTGCAGGTGGGCCAAGGCTCCAGGGCCCTGGTGTGTGCTCCACTGTCCCAGGGGCGTCCCCCTATGACGCATAATTCAAAGGTGAAAAAACTAAGAATTCCAAGATGGTGCCCTAGAGCATTAACCCCAAGCACAGGGCCCAGTGCAACGGTCCTGGTGGGACGCCCATAAAGCCAGTCCTGTGTAGATCTGAGAAAGATCATGGAAGGGTGAGATTCCAGGATTATTACTATTTTTATGCTCCTCATTTACCTCTTGAATTCCAACCTCACCCTTCCTTATGCTTCCTATCTTTACCTAGCGGTCCTTTGGAGGGACACACTAAATGCAGTATGACGATATAAAAGAGAGTGATACGCAAACTAAGTCAACAGCATGGCCATCTGCGAGACACATGCTCAGAGGATCAAGGAAGGAACCTCATAAAATTGCTGTCATTTGGGAGGGCTGAGGACTCTGAGGACTCAGGGACAAGGGACAAGGTGTCTGACCTCTCGAGGTCTCTGTGGTGGCCACCTCTGCGGAGAGGAATAAGCGAAGCGGTAGGAGCTGGTGTTCATTTGCTTGTGGAGAGACATCCGGAAATGGTGACAACGTCCCCGCTGTGCAACAGCAGGACTGTCTTCTGTACCAAGCTGTCTGAACACCAAGCCCCTAGCGGGCAGAACAAACAGTCCCGCCTAACTCGGGATGTAGCATTTACCCGCACATCGTGAAATACCACAGCGCCTCCCACGAAAGACGCCCTTACCTCATTTGCTGTGTTGTGCGTTCCAACGATTCGGATGAAGGAGGCGGGCTGTCTCTCAAAAGTTACTGACTGCCAGGACCTGTGAGGGGAAACACCATTTGCCTGGTTAGACGGTGCAGTTAACCCTGCAGACGGCGTGGACGCGGCCACGAGGGAGACCCGTGCTCTAGGAGGGCTGCAGGGCTGCACCTGCTGTGGCTGAGAGGCGGGAGATAGACGGTGTCCCTGTTTGGGAGCCTATAATCTCATCAAAGGAGGCACTCCAGCCCATCTACGCGCGAGACTTAGGATTCTTACAAAGCCCTCTGTGAACAAGCCCAAATGCAGACCAGGGCCACACCAGGACAGCAGTGCAGTGCCGACAGACACACACGTAATACTGGTTGGAGGGAGTTCACAAAATACGTTTCCTCGTCTATAAAACGGGGCCACAGCGGGGCTGACCTCAGAGGGCAGCTGGCGGAACGGCCGCGGTCGCTCAGCAGCCGCGCAAACGCGTGGGAGGCTCCGGGGACGAGAGTGTTGAAGAGGGCAGGGCAGGGGCTGCGGAGTCCCAGCACTCGGGGGTGCGCAGTGGGGTCACCCAGCACCATCCGACCGCCCCAGTGAGTGGGGGCCCCTGGGGGAGGAGGCAAGTTCTCCCCAAGCCTCTGCCCCCTTTCCTGCTTCCAAACGCAGCCCCCGAAACCATCTATTCTCAGGCCTGGCCTGTCTCTGGGTGGTTCAAAAGCGTCCCCGGTGTTTTAAAGGCCACTTCTCACTGACCAGCGTGGGCAGGGCCAGCAGGGCAGGCCTTGAGCCAACCCTGGGAGGACAGTTCTGCTCTTGGGCCAACGCGCGGCGGTTCATCAGAGCGCTCCAGAGCAGTGCGTGGCCCCCACGACTGTAAACTCCAGTGACATTTTCTACAATAAACGTGAGGAGTTCACAGTTGCTGCCGTCCCTCCTCCGCTCTCACAGTGGAAATGCCAGCTGCTGGGAAGCTGTTTCCTGTAATTGTCTGATTACCAAGCAATGCTGGCCAAGAAAATATATGTATTTGCAGCTTGTTTTCCCCCCTTTGGTTTCAGGTGTTCCACCTTCTCTCTCACTATGAACCTCCCACTGAGATTGATTCACTGCTGCCTGGACACCGGTCCCCTTAAGGTCATTAAAAAGTCGTTACCATCGTGTGTGCGAAGTCTGTGCCTCGGAAAGCAATTTTCTAGAAACAGAATAAGAAAAATCACTCTCTCTGTAAAAATGCTATTATTCATACATGAAGGTGACACCACGTGACCATGCCCAGGGCTTGTGCTCGTGGTCCATTTTCTTGGTGGGGGACTGCTGTCCTCCAGGAACCCCCAGATCTCTCGGGGAGGCTGCTGGGCGGGATACGGCCTGCGGGCTGGCAGGGAGGCCCTGTGGGGTTTCCACAGGCCTGGCTGTCGCTTCCAAGGTGAGCAGTGGACCTGACCACACACGCGCACCCTTCCCCCAGCAGGCAGGAGAAATGAGGGGAGCTGGCCCTGGTCGAGGCTCACGCCCTGCGGAGTGTCGGAGTCCCATCCCCGCCCCTAAGGGAAGCCGTCGCGCGTACGAAAGCTGGACCGCGGCCTGCCTCTCAGACCACGCCTCCAGGAAAGAGAAGCAGAACTAGGATAAGTGACGACAGCCAGTGACAACTATTAGGTTCAGGTCACAGTTTCACAAAAAGGACTGGGGACGAGGGGGCAGGAGGAGAGGAGACGGTGAGGATGCTGTTCGTCTCAGCTTTCTGACCCCATGCCGGTCAGATCTTCAGGCAATTCTCAACAAAAGGTAAGCTCTGCAGTTGGAAGCTCCCTCTGCTCCTCTGAGAGTGGAGGCAGGCCCAGAATTCTGGCCCTGGGTCCCACCCGCTCCGGCCTCCACAACGCACAGGAGGTCCAGGAAGTGCAGGCGGCGAGGCTCACTGAGCCCGGGCTCCCTCCTCTCCCGGCCACTCCTCTGCAGCCCCTGCACTCCTCTCTCCCTACACCCGGCTTCCGGCTTCCGCAGCCCCTCGCTTCTGCTTGGGGAAGCAGGGCTGGCGCGGCAGCAAGCTGAGCAGGAGGGAGCATCTGAGGAGTAATAAGATCAGGAGGTCTCAGTTTAGTACCAATCCTCCATTACATTGCATTAATATCTAATCACATTACAGTTCATTTTCACTAACACAGCCTGAGAGTTGAATATATGATTTCATTTTCAGCGAACTGGATACCAATCCTAAGACCAAATATCAGTAGGAAGGGAAGTTGCTTAGTTAGGGCGAGGTCATGAACATCTCTCCTTCCCCAACTATCAGATTCCATTTCCCCTGAACTTCTTCAAAATAACTTGAAATGCTGCTTGGTAGGGAAGGGACAAGGCGGCACTGGAACAGTCGTCACCACAGCTGTGCCACATTTGCAGTCACTGTGCGACTTCCAAGGATACTGCCTCAGCCAAGATTTCCCAGGGCCAGAAAACCACCCCCACCATTCCGTCCACGTGAAAGCTGCTCCGCCATTTTCGTTGAACTTCATTGATAGCTGCACAAATACAACAACTCGACAACTCGCTGCGTACACAGAACCTCTTCTCAGCAGGCGAACTTCCGGGAAAGACCACGGGCACCAGAGGCCTGGCAGGCCCCTCAGTGCAGAGCCAGCACTGCGTGCGGAGAGGGAGGTGGGCAGGAGCAAGGAGGTCAAAAATAAACACGGTCTTTGCTTTGGGAGCTTAACAAAAACCAAAATCCCCACACAGGAGTGAAGTCCAACCCCGTACTGGCTCTGACCGACAAATCACTGCTCTTCCCTGCATCGTACTTTCCTCGTTGGTCCAATACCGACAGAAATGACATCACTCCTCTGGTCACAGAAGCACAACTAGAATGCGGTCCCGATTACGTCTCGCTGTAAATATGACTCTATACACGTGCACATTCAAAGAGAGACGTCCGTAGGGATGTTTGCCAAAATGTTGATCAAGATTTTAGCTTTCGATGTAAGAATTTCAAGAATCATTTAGTTTACTTTTGTACTTTTCTGCATTGTTGGAAGTTGGTAGAGTGTAGATGTCAGCATTTAAAACAGTGCCCGTCTTGCCTGCTGCCCAAGGATTTAATATGGATCACTTGAGAGGAAGCGGGTGCAGATGCCAGCACTGCACTATCAGGCAAAGTATCTCCAGTTGAGACGCTCGCTGGGAGACAGTCCGGACAGCAGGTTTCCTGCTAGGAGTTCAGGGACGGGGCTGTGCAGCGTGGCAGTTGAGAGCACGAGGCCTGGAGCCAGGCTGCCTGGATCTGAACCTCAGTTTTGTACTTTTACCAGCTCTGTGACCTTAGGCAAGTTGCTTAACCTTTCTGGGCCTTAATATCCTCATCTGTAAAATAGGAGTAATAAAAACAACTATCTAAAATTATTTTGTGAAGATTAAATACATTAACAAATGTAAAGTATCTAGCAAAGTGTTGGCATATACAAAGAACTAAAAAAATCAGTTGATATTATTATTACTGCTATAATTACCATTCAGCCACACAAACCTGGACAAGACATCCTAGCTCCGTGGGCCTCATCCGTGAGTCATCAAGTTTGACAGTGTAGGGTGATGATGACCACAGATGTTCCCAGGGACACCCAAAGCAACCGTCATCAGCACCCACTTCTTGGGGGAAAGACAGGCAGCTGGGCTTTGGAAGAATTAACAAGTATGTGTTGACTACATTCTTGAACTTGGCATCTGCTGGGTATTACGGGGGAATCCACGCAAGATATAGTGCCCACCTTTAGGAAGTTTATAATCTCACCAGGGAGATTAGTCATCCTTTCACAAACTAATCAGAGAACAATGCAAACAGTACAGTGGTCCCAACTTAAAAACCGGTGTGTTCCAAAAATTCCCTTGTACTTGATTTTTTGATGCTTAGAAGCAATTTTTCCACAGAAATATAGCTATTAATTTTGATGGGGTTCCAAGGCCTACCCACAAACTCAATTTAACCCATAATGAGGCTGAAATACTATGGATATGATGTTTAAAAAGGAAGAAAAAACATCGTTGCCATAGTAGTAATAAACAAGCCAGAAAAACAGGGAATTTAAAGCAATCTTTCTAAAGCTACGGCTTGAGGAATGAGGATTAAATACTGTAATGGATATAAAATCATACGGCTGCAGCTGGAACACCATAGGGGGCCTGTTAACAAGGAAGGCGAAAAAATGGGCCAAGTGTGTCATCCTAAAAGCCTCTCCCATCCACAGACCACGGTGTGATTTACAAAGTGCCTCACTAGCACAATCTAACTTATTTGGTTTGTGACACAATCTGTTCGGTAGGCAGGTGGCCAATGTGAATCCCATTTCAGAGGAGAGGAAACTGAGGCAAAGAGAAGCTAAGTAACCTGTGCAACCTATCAGAGCTGTCAGGTGAGGTGTCAACAACAGAAGCCAGATTTGATGACTGTGAGTTTGTGCTGTTTTCCCCAGACTCCAAGGCTGGAAGTCACAGAGGCCAGAAGCGTGGGGATCACACAGAGCAGCTCACAAGCTGACCTCGGGCGGGGGCAGCGTCCGGAAGTCTGCATTTCCTACGTGAAATGGGGGTGAAAACCCCAGTGGGGTTGTGAGGATGCCACGAGAAAACACAAGGAGCTTGGCACATGGCGAAGGCCAGTCCCCGCTGGCCGTCACTGCCGTCCTCGCGCTCGCGCACGCAGACCGAACACGGGCGGGGGCTCGGCCGGTGCTCCCTCTGCAAGAAGCCAGCGTGGAGAGAGCGAGCTAAGACACAGAAGGCCGGGCTGAGTTACGGGGTAACACATACAATGCGGGACTACACACAAAACTGTGTGTTACTCATGGAAACGCACGTGCCTGTGAAATACCTTTAAATATTCTGGAAGGGTATAAGCTAATTCATGACAGTGGCTGTCTCTGGGGAGAGGGTGAGGAATGAGACCACTGATGGGGAACAAAGGAGATTTCAGCATTTGCTGGAATGTTTCATTTCTTTGATTAAAATAAAAAGACTTGGAGTGTATGCAAAAAATATTAACTACGGTCAGTTCTCGGGGATGAGTATGTGAGT